CTGCAGATCCACCAGTTGCCCCAGCTTAGGCACCACCTGTGCCTATTGTGATTCCAGGCCTTCAGTGGCCTTAGCTTAGATTCTGACCACGTTTACTAGTCTTGCTCAGGCGGTCTGTGTTCCGGCTACAGCAGCCACTTCTCAGGCTAGGGGAGGTGCTCAGACCCCAGCTACCTGCACACTTGAGCAGGTGTTACAGGGATTCCAGACACCGAGGGGCACTACCAGCCCAGCCGGTTACAGTTGCTCAGGACTATGTGATTCCTTCTATGCCTGAGGATGAGCAATATAGATTTGAGAGGTTTGGGAGACTCCAGCCTCCATCTTTCAGTGGTGCAGAGGGAGTGGATGCACAGGGTTTCTTTTATAAGTGTCAAAGGATACTCCGTACAGCAGGTATTCTGGAGACCAGTTGGGTCTCGTTCACTACCTTTCAGTTCTCTGGGTTGCATTCAGTTGGTGGGAGTCTTACGAGAGGCGTAGGTTGGTCGCCGCAGCTCCCCTTACCTGGAAGCAATTCTCCGTTATCTTTCTGGAGAAGTTCGTGCCTCAGTCCCGCGGAGAGGAGCTGCACAGACATTTTGAGCAGCTTCGTCAGGGTGATATGTCGTGACGTAATATGAGATGCGATTCTCGTAGTTGGCCCGTCATGCTATCTGGTTGGTTCCTACAGACAGGGAGAGGATCGGGAGGTTTATAGATTGCCTCACTTATCAGCTGCGTTTGCTTATGACCAGAGAGAGTGTGTCTGGTGCCACTTTTGATGAGGTTGTTGACATTGCGCGTCAGATTGAGATGGTTCGCAGTCAGGAGAGGGTTGAGAGGGAGGCCAAGAGGCCTTATGGATAGGGAGGATTTAGCGGTGCTCCTTCTGGGGGTCAGTTCCAGCACGGTAGAGGCCTTCCTTTCAGACATGCTAATACGGCTCGTCCAGGTCACCATGGTGCATCATCTGTCCATGGTTCTCACAGTTATCAGCAGGGCCGTTCATCTCTCGGTGCCCCCCAGCGTAGAGTTCGTCCCGTGCTCCATCGGGTCAGGGTTCGCCTATGCCAGGTCCTTCTTCCAGTTATCTCGGTGTTCGGGGCTCCGTTCAGTCCCCTGCACCAGCGCCGAGGAGTTGTTATGAGTGTGGGGAGTTTGGTCACATGAGGAGAGAGTGTCCCCGTATAGTGGGAAGTCCAGCTCCGTAGAAAAGCTAGTCTATGTCATCAGCACCAGCCCCTCCACCACCCGCTCAGCCAGCCCGGGATGGATCCCAGTCAGCTAGGGTCGCCCGAGAGGGGGAGGCCGATCAGGGGGCGGCCAGGCCCATTTCTATGCTCTTCTTCCCAGACCAGATGCCATTGCTTCGGATGCTGTGATTACAGGTATTGTCTCAGTTTTCCATAGAGATGCCTTTGTATTATTTGACCCTGGTTCTACTTATTCATATGTGTCCTCGTATTTCGCTCATTATATGGATATGCCCCGTGAGTCTCTAGTTTTATCTGTTCATGTATCCATTCCAGTGGGCGATACTATCATTGTGGACCGTGTATATCGGTCATGTGTGGTGACTATTGGGAGTTTGGAGACTAGAGTGGACCTCTTGTTGCTTAGTAAGGTCGCTTTTGACGTGATTTTGGGTATGGATTGGTTGTTTCTATGTCATGTGTTCTAGATTGTCACGCTAAGACCGTGACATTGGCGATGCCGGGATTGCCGAGGGTTGAGTGGAGCGGCTCTATAGAATATGTTCCAAGTAGAGTGATTTCATACTTGAAAGCTCAGCGGATGGTTGAGAAAGGTTGTCTATCTTATCTGGCCTTTGTGAGGGATATTAGTGTAGAGGTCCCTATTATTGATGATGTTTCGGTGGTGCGAGATTTCCCGGGAAATCTCGCACCACCGAAACAACATCAATAATAGGGACCGGCTGAGTTGAAGGAGTTGAAGGAGCAGCTTCAGGAACTCCTTGATAAGGGGTTTATTCGGTCTAGCATGTCACCTTGGGGTGCACCAGCTCTATTTGTGAAGAAGAAGGATGGTACTATGAGAATGTGCATTAATTACAGACAGTTGAACAAGGTCACAATCAAGAACAGGTATCCTTTGTCGCGTATTGATGATTTGTTTGACCAGCTTCAGGGAGCGATGATGTTCTCCAAGATTGATTTGAGGTCAGGGTATCACCAGCTGAAGATTCGGGATTTGGATATTCTTAAGACAGCTTTTAGGACCCGATATGGCCATTATGAGTTCCTTGTGATGTCTTTTGGGCTGACCAACGCCCCAGCAGCGTTCATGCATTTTATGAACAGTGTGTTTCAGCCGTATTTGGACTCGTTCGTCATTGTATTCATTGATGATATCCTAGTGTACTCTCGTATCCAGGAAGAGCATGCCTAGCATCTGAGGATTGTGTTACAGCGATTGAGGGAGGAGAAGCTTTATGCAAAGTTCCCCAAGTGTGAGTTTTGGCTCGGTTCAGTGGCGTTCTTGGGGCACGTGGTGTCCAGTAAGGGTATTCAGGTGGATTCGAAGAAGATTGAGGCGGTGCAGAGTTGGCCCAGACCGTCCTCAACCCAGGAGATTAGGAGTTTTCTTGGTTTGGCGGGCTATTACCGTCGTTTTGTGAAGGGTTTTTCATCTATTGCATTGCCCTTGACCAGATTGACCCAAAAGGGTGCCCCATTCATATGGTCAGATGAGTGTGAGGAGAGCTTTCAGAGGCTCAAGACTGCCTTGACCACGACCCCAGTTCTAGTTCTGCTATCAGCTTCTGGTTCTTACACAGTGTATTATGATGCCTCGCGGATATGCATTGGGTGTGTTCTGATGCAGAAGGGTAGAGTGATTGCTTATGCTTCGCGCCAGTTGAAGACCCATGAGAAGAACTATCCTGTCCATGACCTTGAGTTAGCAGCTATTGTTCACGCCTTGAAGATTTGGCGGCATTATTTGTACGGGGTCCATTGTGAGATTTACATTGATCATCGGAGTTTGCAGCATCTGTTCAAATAGAAGGATCTTAACTTGCGCAGTGGAGGTGGTTGGAGCTTCTTAAGGACTATGATATCACCATTTTGTACCATCCCGGGAAGGCCAATGTAGTGGCCGATACCTTGAGTCGCCGGGCAGAGAGTTTGGGGAGCTTAGCATATCTTCTAGCAGCAGAGAAGCCATTGGCATTGGATGTTCAGGCCTTAGCTAGTTAGTTTATTAGATTGGATGTTTCTGAGCTAAGTATAGTATTGGCTTGTGTGGTCTCTCGGTTTTCTCTTTATGATCGTATAAGGGAGCGTCAGTATGAGGATCCTCAACTGCTTGTCCTTAAGGACACGATCCAGCACGGCGATGCTAAGGAGGTCACTATTGGGAATGATGGTGCATTGAGGATGCAGGGCAGGCTATGTGTGCCCAATGTAGATGGTTTGCGTGACTTGATTCTCCAAGAGGCTCATAGTTCGCGGTATTCTATTCATCCCGGTGCCGCGAAGATGTATCAGGACTTGATACAACATTACTGGTGGAGGATAATGAAGAAGGACATAGTGGAGTATGTATCTCGGTGCCTAAATTTTCAGCAGGTGAAGTATGAGCATCAGCGACCAGGTGGGTTGCTTCAAAAGTTAGAGATTCCAGAGTGGAAATGGGAGCAGATCACTATGGATTTCGTTGTTGGGCTTCCACGGACTAGCCGGAAGTTTGATGCAGTTTGGGTGATTATGGACCCGCTGACCAAGTCAGCTCATTTCATTCCTGTGATGACTACCTATTCTTCCGAGCAGCTGGCTCGACTGTATATCCGCGAGATCGGCAGGCTTCATGGCGTACCGGTATCTATCATCTCTGACCGGGGTACGCAGTTTACATTACGGTTCTGGAGGGTCGTGCAGCATGAGTTGGGTACTCGAGTGGAGTTGAGCACAACATTTCACCCTCTGACGGACAGACAGTCCGAGCGCACTATTCAGATGTTAGAGGATATGCTCTGTGCGTGTGTGATGGAGTTTGGGGGTTCGTGGGATCAGTTCTTGCCACNATTGGTTCGAGCCGGGCGAGGCTAGATTATTGGGTACAGACTTGGTTCAGGATGCTCTGGATAAGGTTAGGGTAATTCAGGATAGACTACGCACGGCCCAGTCCAGGCAGAAGAGTTATGCGGATCGGAAGGTTCGCGATGTTGCATTTATGGTTGGGAAACGAGTATTGCTCCGGGTGTCACCCATGAGGGGTGTTATGAGGTTCGGAAAGAAGGGCAAGCTGAGCCCGAGGTTTATCGGTCCATTTGAGGTATTGCGACGTGTTGGGGAAGTTACTTATGAGCTTGCCTTGCCTCCCAGTCTAGCAAGAGTTCATCCAGTATTTCATGTTTCCATTACAAGAAATCGGACATTTTGCGGCGACAAAAGTCGCTACAAAAGCCCTGAAAGTCGCTGCTAATCGGTTTTAGTGGCGACAATTAGCTTGTTGCAAGTAAATCCATTACTAAATGTTTCTTGTGACGACATATAGGGGTCGCCACAAATGGTATGAATTAGTGGCAACTGGATATGCCACAAAAAGTAAACATATACGCCACAAAAAGTAGTTCCCTGAAATAGATTTTAACCAAGTCGCTGCCGTAAATTGACCTTTAGCGACGACCCTAGCCGCCGCTAAAACTATTTAACCATCAGTGGCAACTATTATGTCGCCACTATAGAATGCCTAGTAGCGACTATACTCGCCACAAAAACTATTAAACTATCAACAAATAACGATGTTTAGAGGCGAATGTAGTCGCTACAAAAAGCAGTATACCTTTAGTAGCAACCCTCAATTCGCCACAACTAATCTTTTGTGACAAGGTTTTGTCGCCACTAAGACTTATTCATTCAGCAACTATAATGACTACAATTATACTACATTTCTAGTGGCAAACAATTTTCAAAAATTAAAATACAAATATATTTCTATCAATTGCCTACAAGTATTAAGAGAATCCAATATTGTCCAACAAACACCCAAAAGCATTCCTCAAACAAAATATTAAAATTACTTCCATTACTAAAAAGTCAATTACAATATAGACTGCACAATACTTTATTGTTCATTTTCATTCTACGCATATACATATGGCCCAAAAAAGATATTAAGTGCCTTCAAACTCCTCCTTGGTCTACGCCAGTTTTTATGAACCTTGGACCTTGCCCCTGTATTAAAGTGAAAAAAAACAAGATCACTTTGACAATTCTCATAATTTAATGCAAATAGTAAAGGAGTGACAATAATCCCAAGACTTAAATGAAAGATCAACTCTAAATAGAACTAGGCAGTGTACATTGTGTGAGTGTTATTCTATCAGAAAGAAGATTGTTCATATATCTATCCATCTGAAATTCAATAGGCAATAATTCTACCAAGTAAACAGATCATGTGTTGCTCAAGTGGGATGTATCTTAAGAATGATATTCAACAGATGATACAGGGTAATGTTATAAATAAGTGCATAAGACTTGTTTACAATTTTTTCACCCTAAATCCTGGAAGGATATGGTACAATCTTGATATTATCACTGTCAAAATTTTTTCATAGAAAAGACTCCAGAAATGGTAAACTTCTTAATGGCAGAAAATGGACATAGTTCGATGGAACTTGCTAGTTTCATGCTTTGGTGTAACTGAAGTTCACTGCTGTAACATAAGGGTCAAAAGCTTTAGAAGAAGCTAACACATCAGATCGGAGAAGCCTCTTTCAAAGTTCCATATTTAAAAGAGCATGTAAATGACGCAGGCTTACAATATCTTAATCCATTCTAACAAAAAACACAACTATCAGTCATTATCACTTCCAAAGTCTATTCAGGTTGATTCAGATAAAAAAGCCACATATTGAAGATATAGAATCCAATTTCCTTCTATGATCATACCAAGTTATGAAAAGTACAAAAATATTAGCAGTACTTGTTGCATTCGGGTCATGAAAGCAGCTTATTGTTCTATATCCACTTGTTCACGCTCCTCTTCCCACCTCCTTTGCAACTCCTGTTCCATATTCCTTTGCAACTCAGCTTTCCATGCTCTAAAAAGCCTTTGCATAGTACTGAACACAAAGGCTTGCAACTTATGCTTTCGCAGCCCGCCACAAACTTCAGATTTATCCTAAACACAAATGTAATATTATGTTTGATATTCATTTTTTTTTATAAGGTAAATTTATGTTTGATATTCATACCAAATTTAATCAGTAAAGCACCGATTCTACTTCAATACAGATTCTATTTACGAAATTAAAGATACAAGCATCATGAACTATATTTGTGAAACACTTAGATCAACTAAATCAGTGAAAATTTATACTATTCTAAATGCAGCGAACTAAACCATGACACTCAATTAGATATCGTTATTACCATGAAAAGTATCTCTTTCTCTCCCTAGTTCCTAATCTTACCACATTTCTTGACAGCTTACCGTGCTATCAATATTTGGAAAGTTAACTCCTCCTTCAAAGAATTGATATAAAACTAATAAAATAAAAAGTAAATAACCATCTGGAATTGGAGCCAGATGCAAAAATATGTAGGTCCATCACTAAGAGAGAGAGATAACTGAGAGACGACCGTCAAGACCGAGAATCGACAAAATAGGGAAATAAAAATAAAGATAAATAGACATTGTACCTTCAAAACTTCGAATGGCTTCGAATAGCTTACCCTCGCAGTGATTTTCAAACTTTAAACTTTCCTCCTTCCTTCTTTGGCTTTAGACGACCGGCTATTCCTAGTACATTTTAAAGTGGGTCAGAGAAATTTGAGGTAAAATCTTAGAATATAATTATCACCGTAAAGGATTTGGGATTTGAGCACATACCTTATGGAGTCACAATTCACAATGTGTGATTACGGCTTTTGAGTTGTCTCTACCGAATGGTTCACATATTTATGATTTGAGCGATTTGAGAGATTGTGAGGTGTTTGAGTAGAGAAAATTTTAGAATTTTACAGAGAAGAAACGCAGTAAAGAACTAGTATTGGAGCAAGGAAACCTAGCGAAGATATTTTTGGACATTCTATTTAGTACTTTTTATTTTAAAATAAAATCAATTAATCTATTTGTAGCGACCATGTCGCTACAAGTTGTCCTTTTGAGGCGACTATTTACCAGTCGCTGCTAGAACTACGGAGCCAAAAATTATGTTCTTAGCGGGAATGTTAGATTTCAGTATTGGTAGCGCATATTACCGGCAACCTAAAAACCTCGCCACTAAATATTTACCTTCAACAACGGCTTTTAAAGTCGCCGCTACTAGTATAATATTTGTTGCAACAAATAGAGTCGCCACTAAATGTTGCCGCAAAAAGTCCCTTTTCTTGTAGTATTCTATGCTCCGGAAGTATCACGGCGATCCGTCTCACGTATTGGATTTCAGCTCAGTTCAGTTGGATAAGGATTTATCTTATGTTGAGGAGCCGGTGGCGATCTTAGATAGGCAGGTTCGAAAGCTGAGGTTGAAGAATATTGCTTCTCTGAAGGTTCAGTGGAGAGGTCAGCCGGTCGAGGAGGCGACTTGGGAGATCGAGCACGATATGCGCAGCCGTTATCCTCATCTTTTCACTACTTCAAGTATGTCTCCATGCTCGTTCGAGGACGAACGATTGTTTTAAGAGGGGGAGGATGTAACGACCCGACCGGTCATTTTGAGTGTATTCGCCCCGATCTCCTATTTACTATTTTTTCCGTATCTATTTTTGCTTAAGTGATTTGTCGGGAGGTCTTATTTTTGGTTTCGGAGTGTTTCGGGACACTTAGTCCTTAAAACGAAAGCTTAAATCTTAGGATTTTGACCGTAGTCAGAAGTGTGTGAAGACGACTCCGGAATGGAGTTCTGTCGGTCCCGTTAGCTCCGTTGGATGATTTTGGACTTAGAAGTATGTCCGGACTGTAAATTTGAGGTATGTATCTAATTTAGGCTTGAAATGGCGAAAGTCGAATTTGGAAAAGTTTGACCGGGGGGTTGACTTTTTTATATCGGGGTCGAATTTCGATTTCGAAAGTTGGAATAGGTCCGTAATGTTGAATATGACTTGTGTGCAAAATTTGAGGTCAATCGGACGTGGTTTGGTAGGTTTCGGCATCGTTTGTGGAATTTGAAAGTTTAGAAGTTCTTTAGGCTTGAATCCAGGTGTAATTGGTGTTTTGATGTTGTACCAGCTGAAGATTCGGGACTCGGATATTCTAAAGACAGCATTCAGGACCCGTTATGGTTATTATGAATTCCTTGTGATGTCTTTTGGGCTGACCAACGCCCCAGCAACATTCATGCATCTGATGAACAGTGTATTTCAGCCTTATCTCGACTCGTTTGCCATATTATTCATTGATGATATCCTGTTGTACTCTCGTAGCCAAGAGGAGCATGCCCAGCGTTTAAGGATTGTGTTGAAGCAGCTGAGGGAGGAGAATCTTTATGCCAAGTTCTCCAAGTGTGAGTTTTGGCTTAGTTTAGTGGCGTTCTTGAGGCACGTGCTATCTAGTGAGAGGATTAAGGTGGATCCAAATGAAATAGAGACGGTTCGGAGTTGGCCCAAACCGTCCTCAGCTACAGAGATTCAGGTACGTCGCAACAAGCTTATGGATATATATATATATATGTATGTGTGTGTGTGTGGATCGGGTTGCACGCCGCAACAGGTCTTATGGCTATATGTGGATCGGGTTGCACATCGCAGCAGGTATCGTACAGTGCTGAGTGACTGAGCGTGGCGAGCGAGAATGGAGACGGGCAGATTTAGTGCTCTGAGAGCATGAGTACTTGGGATTTCACTGTGTTGCATCACATACGGTATTCACATTGGCATGTAGATATAGAGATGTCATACTCTTCTTATCAGTCACCTGTGGCATATTTTATCTGAACTGAACTTAATTGTTGAACTTAGAAGCATGCCTACTTTTCTGTATTGTTAAACTCTGTATTTTTAATGTATTATTTGAGCTCGTCACTGCTTTCAGACCACAGGTTAGACTTGTTACTTATTAAGTTGGTTGTACTCACGCTACACTTTGCACTTCATGTGCAGATCCAGGTATTTTCGAGCATGGCGGTTGCTGATTCTTGACCTTTCATCAGTTCGGAGATCATCGAGGTAGCTGCCTTGGCGTCCGCAGACCTTGACTCTCCTCCTATATCTTTTAGTCTTGTTTATACTGTTCTACTTTCCTAGACAGTGTTCTATTGGTTGGACTATGTTGTTATGTAGATGCTCATGTACTCCGTGACACCCGATCTTTTGGGAGAATTTTGTACTGAGTTTCGATGTCTATATCCAGTTCTTGCGATATTCTTGCTTATTTAAATTTATTTCCGTATATTTGGAATTTTAAAAATGTTGGTGTGTGTGAGATATGGACTTGCCTAGTATCATGATAGACGCCATCACGACATGTTGAATTTTGGGTCGTGACAAGCCTGTTTGGTCAAGCTTCTAAAATTTGCTTATTTTGAGAAGTGCTTTTCTCAAAAGTGCTTTTCAAAATAAGTAATTTTGGTAAAAAAAAACACAGCTTGTGTTTGGCTACTTAGTTTGAAAGTACATTTTGAGTAGTAATTAGTGTTTAACCAAGCTTTTAAAAAGTACTTCTAAGTATATTTTCTCAAAAGTATTTTTCAAAAAAGTGCTTTTGGAAAGAAGCTACTTTTTCTGTTTCTCAAATATTGCTTTTGCTTCTCGTGAAAAGCACTTTTTTCCTTTCAAAAGTTTCGCCAAACACCTTAATTTTAAAAGAAGAAAAAAATATTTTTGACCAAAAAAACACTTTTGTCTCAAAAGAAGCTTGGCCAAACAGGCTATAAGTACCGGGATTGTTACACAAATAGCTAGTCAAATTCATTGTTTATTTTTTCTAGACGATATACATAGATTATACAATGATTACACACAGTTATACACATACTATACATATATTATATATCCGCCGACTATTTTTAGTTTAAGAGATTCGGCGGATGTCAATTTGGGTTAATTCTACTACTTAAAAACAGAATAGGTGAACACGCACGTGCTCCTTTACATCTCATACATAACGTCAAAATAATTTCGTATTTACGTAAGCAAGGGATCATAAACATAAAACACACGGTAAAATGCAAGTCGAACAAATAACGCTTTGATTATGAACAAATCATTTCTAGTGCAAGGCTAATTGCTTCAACAAGATTAAGTGCAGATTCACCAACATCACTTTACCAAGTTCTTGGCTTTCAGCTTTTCCTTCCTGGCAGTTAGGAAAAGAAATGGAACAAAACAAGCAAACATGAATCCAAGATTTAAATTTTATGGGTTCCTAAAAACAATTTCAATATAATAATTAAGTTAATGGCCAAATATTTATAGATACTTAATAAATTTTTTAATATATATACAAGATCTGAACAAAAACTACTCGGTTCCCGGGAACCCTCATCTTAGCCTCCAGATCCGCCACCGAGAACAAGCATTGTTAACATCACCAGAAGCACAATGAACTTAACTAGAAGGAAGTTTGTCGATAACATGTACGTAAAACTGATTTTGCTGTTGAAAGGTCAGTTAGAGTTATCAACAATAATAAGAAGAAGATGTTGATCAAGGATAAAGTCATTTTGAAAAAAAAATAAGGATTCTTTCGAGGTGAATTTGGGTTGTGGAATTTTATATAATATATAGAAAAATTGAGTTTAGTCAACTCTAACAACATCTTGATTTGGATTATAACAATTTGTACCTTTCTAAAAGCATTAAAACGCTATTAAATGACCCTAATCTTTTTCTTCTCTTTATATTACTGTAGTTATGTGAAAATTTTTTCTTTAGTTGAAAAGAGAAATACTTATAAAGCTAATATGCATCATTACAAAAGTAGATGTCGTTAATAGCCCTTGTGTTCATCTTTGAATTTTTTTCATACTTTTTGGATAAATTATCTGAGCAAGAGCATATGTGGGAAAAAAATTCTTGATTTCCTAAAGGGAAACTTATTTTGGACCAAATTGATTTGGCTAAAAGGACACTTATTTTGGACTGACGAGAATATATATGTTTTCTTGCTATGTGCATTAATCGAGGCGCTAGCTTTATGATACTTGTACTCAATTGAAATTTCAACGTAGCGTATCGAGGTAAATACCAAACGGAATTCTACAACGAGAAATGAATAGCATCATATCCTATCTGGGAGAAAAATGAAGTTAAGAATAACAAGATCAGAATAACAAAAAAGAAAGAAATCAATTATACATTATAAAACTCAATCTACTTCCTTCTTTATCACTTGACTTAAACATGAAGAAGACAAACATCCTATTCCTTAAGACCAGCCAGTATAGCGAGCCATATAATATGATGGGTGAGTAGCATTAAACTGCTCCAAATAAAAACCATCCGGTCTTACCTCCCATTTACAGTAATTTAGAACATTTATATTTCCTCCATGATTGACACAATAATATGGGTTGTCAAACACATTAAAAGCCTTATTTTGTGAACCCCACCAAAAGTGACAAAAGAACAAAGTTCTATCAAACCATGTCTCACAAAATGACCAATTAAAGTCTTCATCTATGGCAACATTATTGAAGCCAAGGTCATCATTCTTTGAGGCACAATGAATTTGCAATTGTGGAGAATCAGAAGGAAGTTTGTTGATAACATGTACCTCATACTTTGTAGAAAAGATACATTTTTTGGCTATTGAAAGGTCAATAGGTATAATCAGTAATAACAAGAAGATATTGATCAAGGAAAGAGTCATTCTGAGAAGATAAGTATTGAAAATGAAAGGGGGATTGTGGAGTTTTATACGGAAAAAAAAGTTTTGAGATTAGGATTGCAACAATTTGTACTTTTTTGAAATTATTAGATTACTATTATAAGCACTTGATTTTTTCTTTTTATATTTAAGATAATAAATAATTACTCTCATTATCTTGTCCCAAAATTTACACTACATATTTAAACTTTGGGGGTGAAGTTATCTTTTTTTTTTTTTTTTTTTTTTTTTTTACTGGAAG